TAGACAGCGAATTTGATAATTAATTAGGCAGTTGATTAAACATCGTGCGCCAGAGATGTCAAACGAACTAATTGTCCAAGATTTGTTCTCAGATGTGTGTGATGATTCTTTAGTATACAGTTTTGTCCTCTTTTTGATGATCAAGTGTCACATCCACTTGTTGATCTTTTTTGGGCATGGGCAACAAATCTAGAGTCTTTGGAATTGTGATTTACAAGGACCGTTTTGCTTTTGTTAATAAATCCTTATTTTCAGAGTCCTGAAAATCATTCCGGATATAAATATTATCACAGTCATTACAATTAATAAAGTAAATAACAGCTGTTTTGCATTTGAGAGGACGATTATCAGTTCGCGAAATTTCGTAAAATGTGAATCCTGAAATATCGTTAAGCCTATACTTTCATATCCTTTGGAAATTCTGTGAAATTCTTGCGATGCATTCTTGGGGATGAGATGGTACAGATGCTGGAAGGATACAGAAGTTATTTGATATAATATCAAGGAAGTTGGCTTGTGCGATGTTCAAGTATTCTTGTCCGCATGTGTGCAGTAATGTTAACGAATGCCATGGAATGGTACTAGGGAAAAATTTGCTTACCTATTGGGGGGGCATCCCGTTAAAAGTGCACCTGTGTGCATAGAGTTTTATTCTTTGAAATAAATGACTATAGCTACAAATGTTTTAGACGACTTTGAAGGTCCATTTCAATCTCTTGCATGCATTTGATAAATTTTCAACTTTTCAGTAATATGGTTTTGGGCGCAAGGCAGAGGTTGATGTTATAATATTTTTATTAATCAGTTGTCAGTATTTCGGTCACGCGATAGTTACCTTCCTTATTATAGGAAGATGCTTAAACATTACGCTGGAATTGAATATCAAGAAAAAATATAGCATTATTGCGCTTTAATCTTTCTGAGATGAATTTGTGGTGGTAGTCTGTTCCCCTTAAATTAAAATAATCTAACAGCAAAATTAAAATATGCTATATAGTTGTATAGTTTTGTTTTATATAAAAATTTTATCTATTTTACGAACATAATAAATATAATCAGGGGTGGGAAATGTTTAGGTTTCATGTTTTATCACTGGCAAAAGTATAAACGGCTTTCTGCCATTTGGATTAGTAATCGAGACTTTGATAACACAGTGCTCTTTTCCAAACCAAGTGTAATGCACGATTACTGGCCATCACGTCATCGATATGAGTCTGGTCTGATTTTGCATAGCTTGCCTTGCTTAATTGCTGATCTGTATTGAACCTGTTCACAGATGACGTTCATTATGGTTCATTATGTGCTTTTAGCTTGGCGCCTATCACACTCTTGACCTGGAAATGAACCGCAAATTCTCGCTGACCAAGGCTTGCTGGGACATCGTTCACTTGGAGCGCATCGAAACTTGTTGCGACGTAGCCCAGCGGGCGGACGTCGCCGCTGTAGTCATGCAAGAAGGCCTGGCGCATGTATGTC